CCCACCCAATGGTTATATAGCCGTTTGGGAAGTGGGTGCCCAACCAAACAGCTCTTTTGGCCAAAAAAGAAAAAAATAATAAAAAAATAGCCGTTGTGTCCCGGGCCCGACCTGGCCGGGCCGGGTCACCTTTTGTCGGAACTGAGCCCACCCCCCGCTGCCCCCCCCGGTTCGGGTCAACACCTGGTCCCGGACCGCTGGACCAGGCCGGTCTCGGGCCCGCATAGTACCGGGCCGGCCGGGTCACGGGCTGGGTGGCCCGAACCGTATCCACCACTACCCATGTGCGTGTAAAACTTCTTTTTGCCAAATAAGGGAATAACACTCCGATCCCTACGTCTCTATATCACAATATTTTTTGGACAATCAAAAAAATGAAAGTATATCTTATAAAATGGGAGGGGTACTATTTAGGACAATTTACTTAGATCAATCTTTATGTATCGACATATGGGGTTGTATTTTTAACATGAACTGTACATAGAGAGACATGGCAAGAGCTAAACAACTACTTGAGCTACATCCTTGGCTGACTTTGTATGTGTTGATTATCACTTCGTAAACGAATGAGCTCTTCAAATTCGTAGTATAAATAAAATAACATAAAATGCTATAGGATTTCCTCCAAAAACAATGCGATAAGTAAAACATTTGTAATTCGGACTGCCCATCATAGGGTCTTCATTTACACCATCATTTAATGCTACCTTTAATGAAAGGGACTGGCGTCTGTTATAATTAATTAATTAATCTCCTAGTTTAAAGACAGTTATCAAATAAATGCCAAAAATTGTAGCAACGGATGCTATCAAGGGAAACCGAAATAGACGGGATGTGAATATAAAAGGATTGAGGAAAATGGCCTCCAAAACGTCAACGGCCCACTGGCAGCTCAGACTGGAATTCCCACATCTGCCATTTTTCTCAGGTGATTTGTCAAACGTTAAACTTTAGTTTTTAAAGAAATATATTTTTCATTGCTTTTGCCCCAAATTCTACTTCATCGTCCTTTTTAATTTTTCTTGGATTCTTGCTGTCTCAAAGGCATCTTCTTTATATGATATCGAGTGAAATGCAATCTATATAATCACAGTTTTTCACATTAAAATCCATGCAGAGGTGGATCTACTCTGGGATTGTGGGAATGTGTAAATGAACATTGTAATTTGATCGGGCCGATGGGTCTCGCTGGATTTCTATCGGATTCATAGCAATCAGTTAGGAATTCGGCATCTTCAATTCACGCCAAATTCAAGAGCTTTTGTTGTCATTTCACAGGTTCATCTTAAATTGAATTTTATTTAAATTGCTTGCTTGATTATTTTACTCTTTTATAATTGAATCTCTTGTATACAAAAGTGAAATTGATTCAGGTAAACTGACTTGATATAGGTTGAAAAGAAAAGGCGATTAAAAATATATATGGATGAGTTGCGGCAGATTGGGGAGGTTGTGGGGAGCCTGAAGGCCTTGATGGTTTTAGAACATGATATTCTAATAAACCAGAGGCAATGTCGTCTTCTGGCCGACATTTTCTTTCTGGCTTTTGACACAATCTCAGATGAAATCAGACAAAACTTGAGACTGCATGAGAGGAACACAAAGTGGAAAGTGCTTGAGCGGCCATTGAGAGAACTTCATAGGATTTACAAGGAAGGGGAATCATATGTTAAGTACTGTCTGGACATAAAAAATTGGTGGGGAAAAGTCATTACTCTTCATTTAAACAGTGACTGTGTTGAGTTCCATATCCATAACTTGCTATGTTGTTTCCCACTCGTTATCGAGGCCATCGAGACAGCTGCTGAGATCTCAGGAGGTCTAGATAGAGAAGAAGAAGATGACGATATCGAGAGGATGAGGAGAGTTGCACTCATGAGCAACAAGTATGGGTCAGACTTGATCGACCATAAACTTTTCATCTGGAAATTTGGGAAGCAGTATCTGGTCCCACGAGACATTTGCATCCGCCTGGAACGCGTTTGGAGGGAAGACAAATGGTCTCTGCTAGAAAACATCAGAAACCAGAAGAACAGCAAACTAGGAGAAGGGTTAATCAAGAAGTTGGATGAGTTTCCAAACGCCAACCTTTTGCATAGTTCGATCTTGTTGAGATCAAATGACTATTCTGTTAAAAGGCGTATCGGAACCGGGGGTACGACCCATCTCAAGGAGATCAGCTGGTTGGATGAGAGCTTTGCATTGAGAACTTTTTATGGAGATGCCAAGGAACCACATATTGCTGAGGAGATTTCTTTGTTGCTCTCCCTTTCTCATCCAAACGTACTGCAATACCATTGCGGTTTCTATGATGAAGAGAAGAAAGAGGGGTTTCTATTGATGGATCTAATGAGCAAGAGCCTTGATGTGTTAGTAAAAGAGAATACTTATTCTCCAAGTCAGAAGAAGAGAGTAGTGGCATTTTCTATCCCGGTTGCAGTGGATATCATGCTTCAGATTGCAAGAGGGATGGAATATTTGCACTCAAGAAAGATTTATCATGGGGAGTTGAATCCCTCAAACATACTACTCAAGCCGAGAAACTTTTCTCCTGAAAGTTGTTATTTCCATGCAAAGGTGGCTGGGTTCGGGTTATCCTCAATAAAAAAAAACTATACATACAAAACCTCCCCAATACCTAATGGATCCAGCTTGGTATGGGCCGCACCAGAAGTTTTGGATGAAGGTGAAGATCAACATGGGAGCAAATGCTTAGGTGTGTTTCTCTTCAAGTGATTAATTATTCTTATTTTAACCAAACCAAATCACGTTGTAAAGATCCAGACCATTTCAAAAAATATCCGGACCAGATCAGAGCATAAAGACTCGTACTAAACTAGACAAGACCAAAAAAATCGTATTAGACAAGACTAGAAAAAGTCAGACCATATCGGTGTGTTCTACTTTAGATAGGAAAATCAGTTCAGATAAAATTCAAAATTAGGCCAGTCAAAACAATTAGACCAAACCCGTGAATAAGATTCAGACCAAACCTGATAAGACTAAAAAGATCTAGACCATACCAAACAAACCTAGAAAGATTCAAACCAGACAAGTGTATTACATTCGAGACAAGAAAACCAGACGATATCAAAACCCATTTAATCAGATCCAGACCAAACTTAAAAAATTATCATATTTTTCAGGCGAAGAGAACAGGTGCTTAGCCAAGAAGTACTCAGAGAAGGCTGATGTGTACAGCTTCGGTATGCTTTGCTTTCAGCTTCTGACGGGGAAAGTTCCATTTGAAGATGGGGAGAGACCAATAGAGGGAGGGAAAATTGGAAGATACTTGAGAGCTGGGGAGAGGCCTCTTTTTCCTCATCCCTCACCAAGATACCTTGTGAACTTGACTAGAAAATGTTGGCAAACCGATCCAACCCTTCGTCCTAACTTTTCATCCATTTGCAGGGTTCTCCGTTACATCAAGAAGGTTCTGGTTATGAATCCTGAGCACGGCCAACCTGACTATCCGCCTCCACCTGTTGATTATTGCGACATTGAAGCCAGTTACTCCTCCAAGAAGCTCGAAGCATCAGATGGAGGAATCTGTGTGCCATCACAGATTCCTTTCCAGATGTTTGCTTATAAGGTTTTGGAGAAGGAAAAAAAAACAGTGGGGTGCTTTAAAGAGAATCCAGATTCTTTATTGAATGATTGTGTCGTGGGAATTGTAGATGATGATGTCTTCTCGGATGTAATTGACAAGAAAGATTTACCCAATGATCAAAGACCAGTCGTGTCTGAGGTGGTACAAGGTAAATCTTCAGCTGATCAAAGATTAGCCAAGACCCCAGAAAAGAAAAGTCTAAGCAATGGTTTAAGATTATTAACCACGATCCCCGAAAAGAAAAATCTTTCCTTCTCGGAAATTGGTCAGTCCTCTGCTGCTACTCTCGAGAAAGCAACTGCTCCTTCAAAACCAGCAAATACAAAATTCCAAGCTAAGGACACTCCCTATAACAAGAAATTTAAAGACACGAAAGCAGGTTTGCTATATTTTTTTTTTAATTAATTCCTTCATTTTTAATGCATTTCTCAATAGCTTGATATATAGTAAGAGATTGATGTTACAGACATTTTAAATACAGGAAAACTAAGAGATCAGTCTCCAGTACCTTTTCCTGGAAGGATTACCAGAGCATATTCATCACCGGGATTTTCAGCCCCAGGGTTCACCAGAACATCTTCATCACTGGTTGCCTCACCAATACATCCTCAGAGAGCTTGCTCTTCACCGTCAAGAGGTCCTCCAGCAAGGACCACAGACTGCCAATCTGTTGTGAGCCTTAGGGGACAGAGGAAAGCACAAGAAAAAGATGCAGAGATACCCTAGCCCATCTTCCACTGTCGTTATATCACATATATGACCATGTTTGCTTAAAACTTTCTTCACATAGTTTAGGCTCCTCCAAAACATAAATTTGGTTTAAACTTAAATTTTAACCTTTTTGTGAAATTTTTGTTCCATATATCCCCAGGTTAGAGATTCAGCCACATTCGGTCCTTTGCCACTTCCAAAATACAGGATAATATACATGTATCTTTCATGCAAACATTTTGTGTTACATATATATATAATGATTTCTGTTCTGTAATTATCTATGTTTGAAATTCACAGACCTTCACCACTGCTTTAAATCTTTCTACTGAACTGAGGAAATTCTTTGACAGCAATGTCCCAAACTTCCTTTGTTTATTTTTTTAAAAAATGATCAGCTTTGGGGTTTATATGAACAGTATAATGATTTTGAGTTCAAATGAAAAGTATACAACACAGCAGCTTAACGTAGTATGACCAGTTCAGCTTTATGAATAAATTTTAAAATATTTCCGAATGTAAGAATTAAGAAATGAATGGATGAAATGCTATTTCTTTGACATCCTCTAGAGATGACATTTCATCAAATTTCCCAATGTTGCTATCCTCATGAGTAATGATAATTGGCAAAAACACTAGAGTTGAACAAAAACAAAAGCATCCAAAGCAGAGAGTTGTGCAAAAAAACAACCACGGTAAGTGTTTTTAAAGCTTTCCATGTACAAGGCAGCGTTTTCACATTTCAGCAAAACAACATAGACTTTAACAAGAACCAAAGGTTAGAAATAAGGTTGGAGACTTAGATATCCTACCATTCCAATTTCTAGCAAAAAAGACAGCATCCATGCATATGAAATGCTGGCAACAACAAAAAAGCTATTTCCATCTTGCTACTGGACAAAATGACATTAATCATTAAACACCATGTTTTAACATGAAGAGCAGCTTGCATATGTACAGCCTTCATTCGTTCAGAGCGCACTACAGCCTGGGTGTATTGAATTGTGACAGAACAATGGATCCTCACCACTAGAGTAAATTCGAAAAAGTTGCTCACTGTACTGACGAGCTAATCTTTTAGATTGTCCAATAGCCACAGGAGAGGCTTCCAACATAGACCTGTTAAGTTTGTTTTCTGGATTCCCATCAATAAGATACTTTGCCAATTCAACCCTGAAGGGAAAAAGGAAAACTTATGTTTTAAGTGTTTATAAAATACCCAACTGATATGTTATTCTTTGAACCATTTGATTGACCATGCCATAATTTCCTTAATGAGTAAATCATACAATATGTGAGTAAGTGATTCACCACGCAATGAAGATATGGATTAGATGAGCATCATTACTCATCGGAATTAAGTACCTTAATCCTAAGTAGTTAGGATCCACAGCATGAACCTTGGAGTGTCCATTACAAAAATAACCAATCCTTACTACCAAAAGGAGAGTCACTTAAAAATTGATGTGGACGCATTTGTGGGCCGGATGTATCAATGACATGGCAAAAATCTTGTTGGCCAGCGCCAATGAAGTGACTGCGGGAAGACTACTGGAAATTCAGGGCAGCAGACTTATCAGTATTGTTATTACTACTACACTTCTAGGTTCCTAGTTATTGTTATTTCCTTATTATAATCTTATATAGTTTTATGTGGCTTCCTTCTTCCTATATTATTGGCCCTTGTATTGGCTATACAACGGGGCCTTGGAATAATACTAGATTCTCACTCGTGCGATGTACGGAACAATATTTAGTAAAAAGGAATAGTATCATTTATTATATAATGTTAAAATCAAAGTATTCATATATGTATAATGTGTAAATGTGTGAAAAGAGAATATGACATAATATATACTCCCTCCGTCCCGCTAAGATTGTCCTAGAGTCCCAGACACTATTCACTTGGTCAACACAAATCACTCTTAATCTTTTATTTTATATATCAATTTTTTATCAAATTTGTTTCTGGTTTATGCGACTTTGTAAATCTTTTAACGAAGTTTCTGAATATGTAATTTTTTTTCAAAAAATAATTTGAGTGCGGACAAGGATATGTTTGCTTTATCGTCGGTCAAGCATCGTAAACCGAAATGTCTCAAACATAGTGGGACGGAGGTAGTATTACGTAATAAAAGCTATATTTAGAAAGGGTGATAGTTAATGACATGTTCACAATGTTTAGAAAGAACGCAAAAATAAACATTATAGTATGATTGATTTGTTTGTCATTTTAATTACAAATCATATTTTCAAACTTTTATGATTTGTAAATACAACATAATATTGATCTTGACTCTTATTTATAGTCATGACATAAGAGGTCATGATCGGTAATTGTAGTCTCTGAAATCAATAATATAAATGTATTTTCGAACCATTAAGTTAAAAAACATAATTTTTGAATGCTTTATAATACTCCCTCCGTCCCAATATAAAAGGCACATTTGCGTTTGGGGACTTTTTAAGGGTGAACACTGTTTGAACACTGTTTGGCACTGTTTAGACACTGTTTGGCACTGTTTGGACACTGTTTGACACTATTTGGCACTGTTTTGTTTGCCAAAAAGGGAAATGTGCCTTTTATATTGGGACAGACCGAAAAGGAAAGTGTGCCTTTTATATTGGGACAGAGGGAGTATAATTTTGACGTAATAATATTAACCTTGACTCTTATTTATAGTTACGACATAAGATCTCATGATCGCAAATTGTTGTCTGTGAAGTCAATCATATAAATGCAATTCTGAATCATTGGGTTAAAAAAGGAATAAAGACATGTATATTACCTCCGGAAGACTTAATGACTAAAATAAGACTGATTTTCAATCTTCCAAAAAAGAGACCCGTTTGGCACTCAATTTACCAATTTAGCCTTCTCAACTTAAAAAACCCAGCAACATGTCTCGGCCATCAGGTATGTATCTGTTCTTCTCCTTCTTCTGGGTCGCGATTGATCTGCACTGCCATGCACAACCCTAGCCTATGGATTCATGGTTGCAGACGGAACAAAATCGAAGAAGAGGGAAGGCAGCGTCGGCTTTTGAATCATTGGCGGCAGAGCACCTACGTGTATAGACCTGGACAGCTAGGGTTATGTCTCAACGGCAGCGGCGTCATCAAGCTTCAGATCTGCGACCGCGGCGGTGGTCGGCAGTGACGCTGCAAGGCTTGGCTTTCTGATTAACGCTAGTTTGGGAGCTGGGGGTAGCGACTATGCAGGGATTGGGGCTGGGGTCTAGGGCTGCGAGGTGGCTGGTGGCTGGAGGCTAGGAAGGGGTGGGGGAAGCAAGTCGGGGTGAGGCGGTGATCGGCAGCGGTGCCCGGCATTGGCGGTCAACGGCAGTGTCCAGCGGTGGTGGTCGGCGGCGGCGCTGGTGAGGTATGGTGGTGGTCACTGGCCAGGGCATTGTTGGTCACTGGGCAGTGGTGGACGTTGGTCATTGGACGGGCAAAGGTGGTCACTGGATGGGCGGACGGTGGTCATTGGATGGGCGGGCTGTGGTCATTGGATGGACAAATGTTGGTCACTGAACAGGAGGAGCCTAATTAATTAATCTAGAAATTATTATGGCTGTTCTATTTAATTAGCTTTCCTTATTTCATTTGTTTCCTATTAATTAGCTTTCCAGATTTTAGTCAACTTCTTATTCCTGCATTACAGTAGTTAAAGGCTCTTTCCAATTCTTGTTTTAGGAAACTATCTTTTGCAGGAATAAATTATTGGCTTTGGAATATTTAATCTTTTGGTGGAACCAGTGATCACCTTCCTTGGCCAGGGCAGAAAGTTAGGGTTTTTATTCCAGACATCATAGCTTCACATTCCTCTCTCTATTCTCAGCGGACTTGGACGGGATCTTGTACCAAGGCCCTTAACAAATACACCATCAATTTGGGTTGGAGTGACTTTCGACCATGATTGTGACATTTTTGAGCTGAAAAATGCCAAGCTTTCCACTCTGCTTTGTATATAGATAGAAATTAAACTACTTGTGGAGAACTAAATCAACTAATTATTGTACTTTGAAAAACTCGGCACACATTAATTCCACATTAAGATTTATTTCTTTGTTTCTCTGTCAAAATAATCATAAATCCTAAGCTTCATCTTTCCATCAGTAGTTCTAGTACGCTACTGTTCTCTCTAAATTGGTTCACACTCTAAATTCATGCAACAAAGCATAATGCAACCTGATGCCCCTCCTATCACAACCTTCATATATAAAGGAATAATGATATGAAATTTTAAGACAGACATCATCGTACATTATTTGATTTATTTCCAGTCACATGGTAAATATAATGAGACGGCAATGGTTTGTGATAGTTGGTAGAGTCATGTCCCATAACAAGATTGAGTTTTTAAAAGCCGAACGTGCAAGTCATGAAACATGACCACATTGGACCACATAAAGTCATAAACACTAAACCAGAAGTGCCCGACAAGCATATATGATGCCGCATTAAATAAAATCATAAAGGTCACTTGACCCAGAGTTAATTAAAGAAGGTGTTCCTGGTTATTTTTCAATTATGAAAGATGAAAGCATATTGCCCATTTCCCTCCCCTACTATGTTTAAAGCAATCACTAAAAATGGACACTTTAGGGTTTAATTCCTAATATTTAATTCTGGTGGCCATGAAAACTTCACTTCACAAGTATTATCTTGCACCCTGTAACCAATATTACCAAGAACCTTCAGATAAAAATTTGTTTATCAGATCAGCTGGGTATCTTCCAGACTGCTCTTCACGCAGTGGTAATGTAGAAAACAGAATATGTTCAAAAGGAAATTATAATGAGTGGTAAATGATGGTAAAGTTTGAGCTCCAAATAGAAATAGAGAAATGATGATTACTAAAGTGGGAATTCAAATCATACCCAATTTGATCGTTAGGCTCAAATCCTTTATCCACGGCCTCCAACGTCAGAGGTGCAGAGAGGAGCTTCCTATATAGTGCACAGATGGCCCTCATACAAAGTTCACCATCATTTGCAAATGCCAAGCGCATCTCAGATTCTGAGAGCCATTTTCTGCTTCCTTTAGATGCTTTGGGTTTTTTTGGGCTGCAAAATACAGGTGCCACCAATTTTGCTTCATGCATTGCTTCTTTATCATACTTCATCTTCTTTCTACAATTGGAAGGACTGTCCGTAGGCAACTCGTCATCACTGTCACTGAGAACAACTACATGTGACTCTGTGATAGCATAAAGTAAACATTCAATTGAAATATAGAGGAAGCAGCTTTGCACTAATTAGACTTCCATCCCTTCAAGATACAAATTCCTGCCATCGGTGAACCACATAGGTTATGAAAGTAAACTTGGAAAACATTACAATATAAACTATGTGTATTAACGCATTATTATACCCATAACTTAAAAGCAAATACTTCGTATAAGATAATCTTAATGCACCAATGTGCATCACCAAATAGGCAAATATCCATTCTAACTAGCCACAACATACAGTTAGGAAAGAAAGCCATAAGATAATCTTAGTACGTACCACAACATAAATTAAGCCATAAAAGCATACTATCCTCCGTCTCTTTTTAGTTGCAACATGTTGACTTTTTGCACTATTCACATGATCTACTTTGACTACATTTTACACTATTATTTTACGGAAATTATTTTTTTAAAAAAATATTTTTCAATTCATCTCATTACAAATTTTCAAAAACTGATTTTTAATATTTTTTATTAATATAGATTAAGATATACTTACGGTCAAATGTGTGTTGGCAAATGTGCAAAGGTTGAGTGTTAGCAACTAAAAAAGAACGGAGGAAGTACTTATTTGTAGAAGGATACCTCCTTTTTTGGGGCTAACTCTGGCAGCATTAGGTTCCAGCTTTTGGGTACCAAAATTAAGCCCTTCCTCCTCAGTTGGGAGCTCACCATCGAGATACTCTTCGATGCTTGTTAGTGTAGGGATGTCCCGGCCCTTACTTGCATTAAAGTCCTCCTCCAGACGATTTACCTTCGCGCCCAGCTGGGCAAATTTCTCAACATACTCCTTTTTCTCGCCATCTAATTCTTCGATTTTGCGAGTGAGCTGAATGTTTTTCTCAGTCAGATCTTCATTTTCTCTTTTGTATTTCTCCAATTCGCCCCTTATGTTCAAAATTTCCAAGTCCCGCTCCTTCAAAGCAGACTTATCGGCGCTCTTCAAGCCCTCCAACTCACTCTTGAGGGCATTTTCCCGGTCGATGAGTATCTTCTTGCCCAGGTCGAAGTCCCTTGGTAGAAACGATGATGTCAGAAAATCAACGACTTCAGAAATGGAGGAGCTTGCGGTGATATGGGTGGAAAGCAAAGGTTTCCTGCCATTGACTGTTCGGGCAGAAAGATAGCTGAAGGGCATGGAGGCAGAGCTCATTGAAGCAATGCCTATGTTCTGTGCCTCTGGATGAACATGCCTGGGATTTACCATGCGTCAGTAGGCCAAGAGAAAGTGGAGAGCAAAAATGGATTTGCAACTGAAGCGTCGCAGAGAGCTGGTGCTTTTTTTGTGTGATTTCACTACTAACCTTTTTCTATAATGCTCTGTTTGGATATCAGATTATGCTTAGGAAGAGAGAAAGAGCACACATTCCCATTTTCTTGAAGAAACTTCTCAAATGGACCATTGCTTATCTATTCTCTAATATCTACTAGATATTAGAGGTGCAAACCGCAAACGAACCGAGCCTAGTTTGAACGTGAGCTTGAGCTTGAGTTTGAATAAGAATTCACGAGTTCAAGCTCGATGTCGAGCTTGAACGAGCTAAATAATTCAGACTCGAACTCGTGTTGAGCTCTGCTCGAGTTCGGGTCGTGTTTTGTTAATTAACTTTTATAGGTTTGAGCTCGAATAGGATGCTCGAACTTGAGATTGAATTCAAGCTAAAAATAAATTTTAAAATTTTCCAAGTTGTTAATATTACATTTATACATACAACAAAAATAAATAATACATAGGACTATTTTACATATAATACTTAATAGTTCTCGTTTTTTTACTTCATTGCTTCTTGACATTTTTATTCTTTATTTTACTATCAATAGATATTAAATAGTATAATTATTATAGATTATGAGTATGATAATAAATATTATTATATTTCTAATTATTACTATAATAATATACTCCGTAATAAGTATTGGAAATGGAATAATCCTAAATTAGAATATTTTTTTTAAATATACATAGTACCATTTATATAATTATTATATATATAATATGTATAAATACACACACAAAGGCTCGTGAACCGACTCGTGAGACACAAACCTAAAATAAGTAGGCTTCAATTGAGTTGTTAAATACTCGAGCCGAACTCAAGCCGAACTTAAATTAACCAAACTTGAGTCGGGTTTTTGAAGATAACTGCGCAGTTAAACAGCGCAGTATATTTCAGAAAATCATTTGACTGCCTTCCCGAGTGAATTTTTAGCTGAAATTTGGTATGAGTAAACTAGACTTACTGAATAAAATGCTCAAAAAATTTCATCAAAAATTTCTACCGGGAACCGCCCCAAATGATGACGGCCGGAAAGAGCCTCCTATGTAAGGGGTGATTTGCACTTTTTATGTAAGTTTGAGGGCCTATTTGGTAGTTCTCCCTTCAAACAATAATAGATTTGCTCATAGACACTTTTTTACTTTAGAGTTGCGTGCTCTTGCTTTGTCCCGTGTGGCATTTCGTTTTAAACTTATTACTTTCGTTGTGTACTGATATGCTTATTATGCTTGTTTATGGATTAACTTTGTGTGATTTTTTTGTTTTTGTTTTAACCCGAAAGGCAAACCACCAAAATCAGTGGGGTAAATGTCGGGGAACATTTACCAAGTTTTAATGTTTTATTAAAATAAACAAAAAATAAAACAATTGAAGAGGGGGACTAGACCAAAACCTCTCCTTGTGTGATTGATGTGCATGATGCCTTGTATGACTCAGGCAAGCTTGACCATGTTTGACTTATCCGGGTTGTACGGCAGTTATTGGCTAGGGATAGCAACGAAGCGGGTTTGGGGCGGGGGTACGCTCCCCCATCCCCGCCCCATGTCTAAAAAGTTTCCTCCATCCCCACCCCATCCCTGCTACTCCCAGAGCCGCCCCACCCCATTGTCCTCCACGGGTGCCCGCGGGTGCCTCAAATAGATTTTATTTATCTTATTTGCATATTTTTAACCCATTTTCTGGATAAATATAAATATATAGCACTAAAAGAAGTAAGCTAGATAATATTGTGTTTGATAAAAGTGAATTCCGCCAACTTATAATACTCCATAATTCTTTAATTTGAATAAGAAAAGTAAAAATATAAGTAAACATATTATCATCATGTATGTCGTTATAAATTTCTCATCAATTATAATACAATTAAGGGTAGGGAAAACTGTCAAATAGGTCCTCGAACTTTCATAGAAAGGTCAATTAAGTCCTTCTATAGGAGGTTCTGTCCGGCCGTCGTGATTTGGGGCAGTTCCCGGTAGAATTTTTTGATGAATATTTTTTAGCATCTTATTCACTAAGTCTAGTTTACTCATACCAAATTTCAGCTAAAAATTCAATCGGTAACACATTCAAATTAATTCTTGGAGATAACTGCGCATTTTTGCGTTCTCGAATTAATTTGAATGCGCTCCCAATTAAATTTTTAGCTGAAATTGGGTATGAATAAACTAGACATGATGAATAAGATGCTCACAAAATTTCATCAAAAAGTTCCATCGGAAACCGCCCCAAATCGCGATAACCGGACAGTCTCCTATAGAAGGACTTAATTGACTTTTTTATGAAAGTTCGAGGACCTATTTGACAGTTTTCCCTACAATTAATCATATATGGAGTATATTATACTTAAATATGCATATGTGTTTTATTTACTCATTTTCTCATTTTTAAAACTCTTATAAAACTTATGACAAGTATTTTTAGTTATTATGTATTATTGTTATTAGAGTACTCTTCCGGTCAGGAATTCCTGACCGGAACCGCCGTCCGGACGGCGGCGTTTGGCCGCCTTCCAGGTGGAATTTTTCGATGAAATTTTTATGACATATTCTTCATCAAGTCTAATTTATCCACAAAACATTTTAGCCAAAAAATCATTCGGGAAGGTCATCAAATAATTTTTGCAAGTTAACTGGTCCGGAAAATACATATTCCGGACCAGTTAACTTGAAAAAATCATTTGACGACCTTCCCGATTGAGTTTTTGGCTAAATTTTTGTGTGGATAAACTATACTTGATGGAGAACATGCCATACAAATTTCATCAAAAAATGCCACCGGAAAGGCAGCCAAACGCCGCCGTCCGGACGGCGGTTCCTATCCGGAATTCCGGACATGAACATTTGTGTTGTTATTAAGTATAATATGTATTGATTCATATATACATTTATATATGCTTATATGTATATGTATGTGTTTGTTATATACTCCATACTCCATAATTTACTTAAATAAGGTTATACATTATTTATATATGTATGTATGTATTTTGTGTGTGTGTGTGTGTGTGTGTGTATATATATATATAGGGATGAATTCAAGTAAAAAGTAGTTTTCCCAAGAAAAGTGAGAACAAATCTTGACCTTTAATCACTTGCAAATGGATGGACTAGTTGAAGTTTACTCACAATACACATTGTCAAAACAGTGCAAACGTTTATAATATAAAGTGGATAGATAATGAACAAAAGTGTACTCATAAGTGATAAAAAAGATTGTTAATTTTCTTTTAATTTGTGCAGATTTTATTATGTACCGTAATGTACCTTTTTGCTCTACATTTGCACTTTTTGAAATTCTTCGTACACATTTGTTACAATAATTTCATTCAAAGATCATCATAATTACCAAAATGCCACCGCGTTTCCAACTTAAAATTTGATCTCTTCCATCCATTTTTTCACATCAATGGCCAAGATTAGTTCTTATTTTTCATATAGGAACCACTTTTTATTTGATCCAAAGTCTATATATATATATATATATATATATATATATATATAACGGGGACGGGGTGGGAACGGGGCGGGTGTAGCAATCCCCGTCCCCCACCCCATATTTTAGCATGGTATAAATATCTTACCCATCCCCATCCCCACCCCATACTCCCACCACTGGGCGGTTCCCCACGTGCCCCCACCCCCATTGTCATATTGTTGGCGTGTCTCGGTAGGCCCAGGCGTGATAGGGGGTGTATTCTTACACATGTATTCATCATCAATAGACTTCCTATGCCGATTATTTCCAATAAGACTCCTTTTGAAATGCATTTTCAGAAAGTACTCGATTACAATCACCTCATGTTTTTGGGTGCCTTGTGTATGCTCATGATAATAAATGAATGGATAAATTCAGTGAATATAGGGGAGCTCATGCGTCTTTATTGGATATCCAAGCTGATAGAAGGCTTACAAAGTGTTTGATATGAAGTCACAAAAAGTCTATAGTCCGAGGGATGTCACATTTTTTTAAAATATTTTTCCTTTCAAAACCAATCTGCCTACGGATGATGAGTCTTTTGACACAGCACTTCAGATGGCCGTGGAACGAATTTCTGTCGATCTCGCAGCGCTACATAGCTTGACCCCAATGCGACTAGTCATCCGAGGAACCGCCTCCCCTATGCACATTGGCTCATTGGAAAATGATTCATTCGAGAGTGTGGCAATCCCTACTCCTTCTGAATCAGTTGTCCGGACTGATGATTCTCAACATGTTGAAGGTACCCGGAAGAGTGGACGAGCCCAGAGGATGCCGGATCATCTAGAGAATTTTGTCGTTGACTTGCCACCCTCGCTTGATCACTCGACGCCCACCTCCAATCAGGCGGCTTCGATGGTATATCCTCTCACACATTTTCTCTCTTATAATATTTTTTCACCGACTCAATGTGCTTTTTTAGCGACCATCACTGCCATGATGAGCCCAAGTATTTTCCACAAGCCATCCAGGATCTGCTATGGAGGGAGGCAATGAAAAGGGAAATCCAAGCACTTGAAGAAAATGGGACCTGGGTTTTAGTACCTTCCCCCTGGCAATAAGCTGGTTGAATCTAAGTGCACTTACAAAAATCAAGTACAAACCCAATGGAGACATTGAGCGTTACAAAGCTTGTCTTGTGGCAAAAGGGTTTTACACAGATTGAGGGAACCTTTGCACCACTCGCTAATAAGTTAGTCACCGTCCAGTGTCTCTTAGCGGTTGCGGTCAAATGTGCCTGACTAGTCCATCAGCTTGATGTAAACAATGTCTTTCTACATGGAGACATGCATGAGGATGTATACATGTTTATTTCGCAAGGTTTTGCCAAACCAGGTGACACTCGAGTATGCAAGTTCCAAAAATATTTATACGGCATTCGTCAAGCTTTTAGAAATTGGTATGAAAAATTCACCGCAACATTGACGCAGATTGGTTTTTAGCAGTCCCGGGCCGATCACTCGCTTTTCATTTATCGCTAAGGAAATAATTATACCAATGCCCTCCTGAATACATGTGGATTATGTACTGCTTGTTGGGAACAATGTTACACACGTATATCATTCTAAGCAATATCTTCATCAAAGGCCTTGGTCCACTTAAGCACTTCCTTGGGATTGAAGTTGCTCGCTCTCCCAGT